TTGCACATTAAAAATATAGTTTGTGTATTAAAATTATTAAATGACTATTAATGAAATAACATAAAAAATAATTTTATTAAATGCATTTTCAAAAATTTATGAATTTGGCTGTATTTTTAATGTGTAATCTGACTTATAAAATATTTTTTTACTATTAATTTATCTTGAAATGAGTTGAGGAATACAACCTATTATCCTATTCATTCACGAGGTATGGCATTTTGAACCTACCTAATATCTACACATATTAGGGGTTAAACGAGTTTACGAGTTCAAAATCATTAAGCATGGCCTTGCTCATAATGTGCAAGTTGAGTGGAGTTGGCAGATTGTGTCAAAGTTTTATAAAGTCTAATTAGGGGGAGAATTTTTCTTCTTATATGCAAGTTGAGTGGGGTTGACAGACTCTGTCAAAGTTTTACAAAGTGTAATTAGGGTAGAGTTTACCTCTAATGAATCAAATTTGGGCCTATACGAAAATGACAAATTTGGGCCAAATTTCAAAGATGGGATTGATGCAACTAGTGATTTGAGAATTGGGATTTGGGCTAGATTTCACAACTTTATAGCAGTCTTGTTTTATAATACATTTAGGTTAAGGAAGATAGAGATGAAAAAAATTTCTTATTTGATTATTAAAAGAATTAGAGATAAGGATAGGAGAAAATTTTATTTTATTTTTTAATTTATTTAGTTAACCAAACGAGGAAAATGGTAGGGAGAAAAATAAAAATGTCTTTTTTTTCTCTTTTTTTATTTTTTCAATCCAAACATATGGTTAGAGATTGCAGAAACGATGAAAGGAGTAAAATATGATTCGGATTTTTGGAAAAACTGAAAATTTTTTTTGTATTAACCTTTTAATATTCGGTAATCATATTGGATCCGACTAATTTGGAATCGGACCCCATTAGGGAGGAAACTCTCCCAACGTCTATTTCTCCATTCACAAAACTCAAAACTTAAAACCTTATTTAAGAAAAATTAAACTTTTTCCACTCAGACTAATAACTTGATACTGAAAAACTGGAATTGGTGCGCGACAAGATTGGATTCAAATTCGGGCGAATTAAGAAAGTGGGATCAGGCCCATTAGCATTGAAGTCCAATTCTGATTGCCAACGGTTAGCCATTTAATTTGTGTTTGGGGCTTGGGGTAGAATTAGAGATCGGTCGGCGCTATTGGGTCAAGTGGACCTTATTTTAGGCTCAACTCTTGGTACCTTCTAATTATCACATGTTTTGGGTAATGGATTTTTCCGCCCAATTTTCACTGACTCGAAAGAATCGAACCCGTTTGCTACAGAGTCTGCTTATTGGGGTGACTCTTAGTAAACCCATTAGGCCCAACAGAGAAACTAATGAAGCGCCGAAGCGGTGTTCCAGTCCAACTAATAAAAAGTCTGATGTTTTA